TTGAAAATTCATTCTCCGTTGACTTGTTTCACATATAGGCGTGTGAATTCTCACAGATGGGCAAGTACAAATAAAACCCAGGGTAACCAATATTATTTATTTATTGTTCCTTGCTAGATATCCTCATCCTTTCAACTTCGGAACCTAATTCACTTTGCTATGTAGAGACTAAAAACCTTGATGGTGAAACAAATCTCAAAATTAGATCAAGTGTACCAGAAATTGATCATTTAGAAGCTCCCGAAGATTGTACATCAATTAGGTTTTTTGTAGATTCTCAACCACCTGCTGCAAACTTATATAGTTATAACGCTACATTGGTATTTCCGGATGGTTTACCGGACCGACCACGTTCCCGTGGTGGCCCTACTAAAATACCGGTCAATTTTCATTCAATGTTGTTGAGAGGTTGCGTATTGAAAAATACTGAATGGGTAATTGGGTTGGTTGTGTTTACTGGCACTGACACGAAACTTGCTCTGAATTCTGGTGCAACTCCATCAAAAAGGAGTCAGATAGAGAGACTGATGAATCCACAAGTGTACGTGAATTTTATATACTTGTGAAAGTTTTAGCTAAATTCGATAACTTTATTATCGTTTTGTTTAATTAGTATCGCAAATTTGGTTATTATGACATTAATGTGTGTGTGGTGTGCGGTTGGAACAAGAGTATGGGAAGCTGGGTTTAACAATTTAGATCCGCCATTTCTTGATAATAAAGATAATGCCGGACTTGGCGCCTTTATGGCATTTTGGTATGATAAATTTTAATTTATTTTATTGTGTCACTATATCTTTAGGATATTAATCGTTTTTTGTCGATAAATTTCGGGTTATAGGAATGCTTTAATCGCTTTTCAAAACATTGTTCCAATCTCATTGTACTTGTCAATAGAATTTGTAAAGAGTGTTCAAGTATGCATTATTTGATCGATTAAAATTAATTTTAATATGCTCTAAATAATATATTTTATAATTACAGGCATTCTTTATTTTTATGGATAAAGAAATGCATTATGATGTAACTGATACGCCATGTATTCCGAAGAACTGGAATTTGTCAGATGATCTAGGTAGGCGTTTTAATAATTTTTTAAAAAAAATTTTTTTTGTTATGTATTACTACTAAATTTATTTTATTTCATGTTAATAGGTCAGATCGAATACATGTTTTCTGATAAAACTGGTACGCTAACGCGTAACGTGATGGAGTTTCGTAAATGCTCTATCGGTGGTAAGATTTATGGAGAATACACGGAAAATCGAAATGAAGGTAATACAAATATATATCAAGTACAATTTTATATCATGGTAGTGAATTTATTTTTCCTATAATATTAATGTTAAAAAACTTCAATCATACATTCCTATACTTTCAGACTCAACTGATTTTGATAATAAACTATCAAAGGAACCATTCACTGATAAAGAGCTTTCTCTTGATGCAAAGGATCAAACCAAATCAGAGACCATCAAAGATTTTTTCACTCTCCTTGCGATATGTCATACAGTCCTGGTTAGTACAAGTAACAATGGTGAACCACAATACAAAGCACAATCTCCCGATGAAGCTGCACTTGTGCAGGCTGCCAAGGATGTAGGATATGTTTTTCATTCACGTGATCCAGACAGTATATTTATCACTACACCTGAAGGTGAAAAAGTTCGTTATGAATTATTGAATATTCTCGAATTTACAAGCGCACGAAAAAGGATGAGCATTATTGTGCGGAACCCTTTAAATCGCCGTATTATTTTATTTTGCAAAGGAGCGGATAACGTTATTTTTGATCGACTAAAACTTGGACAAGATTATATCGTTAATGTCACTGGCGAGCATCTAGAAGAGTTCGCGAGAGAAGGTAAATATTTTATAGCTTGAATACAACGTAACTTAATATGTGGTCTAACAAAAAAAATTTTTGCAAATTCAGGTCTTAGAACACTTTGTTTAGGTTACACCGAAATTAGTCAAGAAGAATATAATAAGTGGAATATTGAATTCCGTGAAGCCACAACTGCACTTAATGATCGAGACAAGAAGGTCGCTGCTATTTCTGACAAGATCGAAAGAGAATTAATTCTGCTTGGAGCTACTGCAATAGAAGATCGTTTACAAGATGGTGTACCGGAGTGTATAGCTACCCTAAAACGCGCAGGCATAAAAATCTGGGTGTTGACAGGCGACAAAATGGAAACGGCAATTAGTATTGGTTTCTCTACTTGTTTGCTAAACAGGGAGATGAATCTTATTATTATTAGGGGTGGTGCTTATGGTGAACCCGGTAGTGCTTACGAACAAATGCGTAATGCAGTGGAAAAGTTCTTTCCAAGTGATCTTGATATTCTCGAGTCTGCGAAGGCACCT